TTTTTTTTTTTTAATAAGTTGAATAAGGTCATTTTTATCTCAAAACTCACTTTCATCCAAAGTTTCTAACTTTTTACTTTTAACACTCTTGTTCTTTCAAACGTACCTTGAATAAGGTAATTTTTAACCTTAAATTCTCACTTTCACTTAAAATTTCTAACGTTTTACATCAAAACACTATGGTTTCCTCAAATCTACCTTTAATAAGGTCATTTTAAACTTAAAACTTTCATTCTCACTCAAAGTGTGTCTCTTTTTTACATGAAACCAATCATTCCTTCAAAAGGTACCTTGAATAAGGTAATTTTTAACTCAAAAGTCTCGATTTTAGTCAAAGTTCCTCTCGTTCCTTCCAAAGGTACCTTGCATTTGGTCATTTTTAACTTAAAGCTATCATTTTCAGTCAAAGTTTTTAACCTTTTACATTAGACACTCTCATTCCTTCAAAGTATCTTTAACAAGGTCATTTTCAACTATAAAATCTCATTTTGACTCAAAGTTTGAAACTTTTTACATTGAAATTCTTTCGTTCCTTCAAAGGTACCTTGAATAAGGTCATTTTCTACTAAAGCCTCTTATCTTCTCTCCAAGTTTCTAACTTTTTACATCAAAACACTCTATTTTCTTCAAGAGGTACCATGTATAAGGTTATTTTTAACTCAAACCTCTCATTTTCAATCGAATTTTTGAACTTTTTACATTAAACACACTCATTCCTTTAATTGTGTCTTTAAAAAAGGTCATTTTTAACTCTAAAATCTCATTTTCACCCAAAATATCTAACTTTTTACATCAAAACACTCTTGCATACTCAAAGATACCTTGAGTAAGGCCCTTTTTATTTCTAAACATTCATTTTCACTCAAGGTTTCTCTTTTTTCACATCAAAACACTTTTTTACTTCAAAAGGGACCTTGCATAAGGTCATTTTTAATTCAAATCTCTCATTTTCACTAAAAGTTCTGAAAATTTTACATTAGACACTCTCATTCCTTCAAATGCGTCTTTAACAAAGTCATTGTTAACTCGAAACTCTCATTTTCTTTCCAAGAGTTTAACTGTTTACTTTCAAAACACCTCGTTCCTTCCAAGCTACCTTGAATAAGGTCATTTTTAACTCAAAACTCTTAATTTTACTCCAAGTTTCTAACTTTATACATCAAAACTCTCTCGTTACTTCATAAAAGAAACGGAAGAAAAAAGGGACACCGAGTGAATTCTAAGAAGTGTGTGTGAGAAGAAGAATGCAATGTGCGAACACTTCCTGGGTATCAACCATTCATCTGCCACTCATCAAAACATCAAATTCACAGACCAAATTGCCATTTTCCCAAACAAGAACTCAACTTCCTAGGAGCCCTAATGCTTATGATGATGATGATGATGGTGAGAGTTCAGTGGTGACCATTCCTCTGCCTTCTCATTTGAAATCCATCACAAGCACATCAAACCCATTTGTGAAACACTGCCTCAAGCTTCGACACAGCTCTTCGTATCGCCACTCTCATGCTTCAGCTCTTGTTGTTGGCACTACCCCTATAAGGTCTCGATGTTCTCTAATCCTCCTTCATTTGATTTTTTTTTTTTGGGTTCTTTACAATTATTATTTTATAACCCACTAATTCAAATTAAAATGGGTCTCTGCTATTTATTGCCCTTTGTATTCATATATTTTAATGAATCTTTCCTTAGCTATGCTTATTAATTAGACTGGATGTGAATTATTTTTTTAGTTCTATATATGTTACATACTCTTTCAGCGAGAAAAAAATTGAAGTTTGGTATGTTAAATTTGGCAAATTATTTTTTTAGTTCTATATATGTTAATGAATCTTTCCTTAGCTATGCTTATGGGGAATTGTGAAGCTATAACTAGATTATATTTGGAAACTTCCACATAGGTTTATTCATTTGTAAATGTTTTGAGTTTTTCTGCGTTGAATTAGTGTTGAAGCTATTTTTGGTCAAAGTCGAGTACTAGTAGCATGTGTTCTGAAAAAAAAGGAGCTGTTATCCATATGGATAAATTGTATTTCATTTGTTTATTTAAATATATACATTGATTATGCCCTCTAATGGTCAGAAATCTTATACACATGGGGTTTGTGAAAATATTATATACCATTAGTTTCAAATTTCTTTTCCGCATTTCCTTTCATGAATTATTTCTTAATTGATTTACTTGTGACTGTAATTGACCATTATGAATCCCTTAAGCAGTGGGAAAAGAAAACAAATGCTATATCTGTGCACTCTTGTTCCTTGCATATGGTCATTTTTAACTCAAAACTCTAATTTTCACTCAAAATTTATTACTTTTTATATCAATACACTCTTGCTTCCTCAAAGATACCTTGAATAAGGTAATTTTTAATTCAAGACATACATTTTCACTCTATGTTTCTCTCTTTTTTATATCAAAACACTCTCATTCCTTCAAAAGGTACCTTGGATAAGGCCATTTTTAATTCAAAACACTCATTTTCATTCCAAGCTTCTAACTTTTTACTCCAAGTTTTTAACTTTTTACTTCAAAACACTCTCGTTACTTCAAAGCTCACTTGAATATGGCCATTTTTAACTCAAAACTATCAATTTTACTCCAAGTTTTTAACTTTTTACTTCAAAACACTCTCGTTACTTCCAAGTTTTTTAATAAGTTCATTTTTAATTCTAAACTCTCAATTTCATTTCGTGTTTTAAACTTTTTACATAAAAAAACTCTCGTTCTTTGATAAGTTGCCTTCAATAAGGTTATTTTTAGTTCAAAACTTTCATTTTCATTCAAAGTTTCAAATTTTGGACATCAAAATCTCAAAATTCTCATCTTCACTCCAAATTTTTAACTTTTTACGTCCAAACACTCTCGTTCAAAAGGTACGTTATATATGGCCATTTTTAATTCAAAACTTTAATTTTCACTCAATTTTTAACCTCTTACATTAAACACTCTCTTTACTTTTTTCTTTTTAAAAGCATTATTATTATTATTATTTTTTCTTTTGTTTTTATTTTACTCTTTGTAAGTTTACTTTGGATTGTAATTTTTTTCTCCAGTTTTATTTTTATATTTTTGGTTCATTCTTAATTTATTAGTTTAAGTCAGGGTTTCAATTATTAGTGAAATTTTGTGAGTAAGAGTGTTTCCCTTCTCCTATCACATATGTGTATATATATACAATTGCTAATATTATAACATTTATCACCAATTTCTCCTTTCTCTTCTTGTTTTTTATTTTTTATATTTTGATTTAGTATTCTTTATTAAATGTGTGAACTTCTCATAGGGCTTTCCAGCACTTATGCCATATTAACTATATGTACGTTTCCTAGGAACTAAGTAAAACTTAAAATCATAAGCTCTTTCTAGCAAATGTATAAAAGGGGAATAAACATATTGTAATAGTATAAACATTCATGAATCAGTAGTTGTGATAGAGTAACTTTAATACCATCAATAGTTTTTCCTAATTTAAAATTATTATTTTTTTGTTATTAATTATAGTGTTGTTATTAATATGTTAGATGGATATGAATGTTGAGAATGTGGAACAATGCGGTGATTCTCTCACAATTGAAGAAGTGGCTGAAGTTACGAACGATGGAAAATTGTTATGGGATGAGTCACTCATTGAAAAATTCGTGAATATTATGGTGGAAGAAGTTAAAGCTAATAATCGTAGTGGCACAACATTTAGTAAAAGTGGTTGGAGTAATTTAGTCAAACAAATGAATGTTCAAACGGGGAGAAAATTTGGTTTAACCCAACTTCGGAATAAGTTTAATGGTTTGAGGAAAATTTATACTGAGTTTAAGAAATTATTATCGGAGACTGGCGTGGGATATAACAATGAGACGGGCATGGTTATAGTTGAGGAAGAGAGATGGGACAGGTTGTGCAAGGTTAGTAATTTAATTATTAGTTCTAAATAAATAATAAAATCTTGTATATTATTGGTTATGTGGTTAATATTATAACAAAATTTGTAGGTTGTTACGAATGCAAATAAGTATAAAAAGTATGGATATAAGCATTTTGACAAGATGTCGACTATATTTGGGGACACATATGCAAAAAGGATGCATGCCCACCCATCCACTACAGCACCACCCATAATCATTTTGCCCACTCCCAATGATGACGATGATGAGGAAGAGGGTTGTGAGGTCAGTCCCCCACCTTTACGTAAAGGTAAGAAAGCCAAAAGAGATGCTTTATCTCCTGGTATAGCTGCACTCTTGTCAAACATGAATGAGAATTCTGAAAGGAGAGCTGAGAGAATGGAAGCTGCAATAAAGAAAGCAGCTAAAGCATCTTCTACTTCTACTCGTGTATCTTCATGTGAGAAAGGAGATGATGAAGCTCTCTCTCCCTCAAAAAATGATAGAGATTATGAAATGTTTGATGCCTCCATGCTCCTTTTACAAAAAATACCTGGAATTGAGATGGCCCAATTCGCTAAGGTATCGAAGTTATTACATGATTCTGAGAAGTGGCAGAAATTTTTTCTTTCGGCACCTGAGGATGTAAGAATTGGTTGGGTATTGAATGTTTGAGTTTTTCTTTATGGATGATTGTGTTTTATGTCATCGTTTAACTTATTACTATCTCACATTTGGATGACTGTAATAACTTAAATACTTTTATTATCTCACATTTGGATGACTGTAATAACTTAAATATTTTTATTATCTCACATCTGGATGACTGTAATAACTTAAATACTTTTATTATCTCACATTTGGATTACTGTAATAACTTAAATATTTTTATTATCTCACATCTGGATTGTTGTAATAACTTAAATACTTTTATTATCTCACATTTGGATGGCTATAATAACTTAAATAATTTTATTTCTTGGATGCCTGTTAGTACTCAAATACTTTAATACCATTATTTAAATGTTTGTTTTATTATTTAAATGTTTTGTTTATTATTTAATTGATTTGCTTATTAACTTAAATGTTTTGCTTGTATTAAATCTTTAAATAGGGTAATGGATATGTGGAACAATATAAGAAGAATAATTCAATTATATGACGATGAGGAGGACAATGAGAGTATCTTAATATTTGCTGCTCTTTTAGAAGAGCAGAACTTCTATCAAAAGAGGCGTTGTAAGGATTCCATTTTACAAGGGGAAACATATGTTATGGAGATTTTAAACGGCCATAGAGAAAGATGTTATGAAAATTTTAGGATGTACCCTGAAGTTTTCAGAACATTGTGTAGTACCCTGAAAGGTATAGGGCTGAAGGATTCTAAATTTTTAACTGTTTATGAATAAGTGGTAATCTTTTTGCTCACTTTATCTCATAATCAAAGGAATCGTGTTGTAGCAGAGAGATTTCAATACTCCACTGAAACCATTTCTAGACACTTCCATGCTGTGTTGCATGCAGTATGTCAGTTGGGCACCCATATCATTGCCCCTCCTAATTTTTCTGTGATTCCGAATAAGATTAGAGAGTCTTCTAGGTTTTACTCTTACTTCAGGCATTGTGTGGGAGCTATAGATGGAACCCACATTCCTGCAACTCTGCCAGCAAGTACACAACTTCCATTTCGTGGTAGAAAGGGTTATACTACACAAAATGTAATGGCTGTATGTGACTTTGACATGAGGTTCACATATGTGCTAGCTGGGTGGGAAGGCTCAGCTAATGATTCGAGAATCCTAAATGAGTGTACTGAAAATGCGGCAATGAACTTTCCAGCTCCACCAGCAGGTAATATTATTTTACAAATTCACTTAATATATGGTTAGTTTATCATACTGTATATATCTTTATGTATTCTAAACATGGCAGGTAAGTATTATTTGGTGGACTCAGGGTATGCCAATAAGCCTGGTTATTTAGCCCCATTTCGAGGTCATACTTACCACTTTCAGGAATACCGTAGGACTAGACAACCTCGTGGTCGGGAGGAAGTGTTCAATCATAGGCATTCATCTTTGAGAAATATAATTGAGCGATGATTTGGGTTATTGAAGATGAGATTCGCTATTTTGAGGGCAATGCCTCCTTATAAGTTTTCAACACAAGTATTGATTGTAATGGCTTGTTGCACATTACATAATTTCATCAAAAATCAGCATCAGCCTGATGACATATTTGATGGTAATGATCCTCCTCAAAGTGATGATGAAGATGATGAGATTGTTGAGCATGTGCCTTCGGCTCAGCTTTGAGAAATGGATCAGTTGCGTAATACTATTGCTGATCAAATTTAGAATTCTCTTCAGCACTCTTGATCCTTCTGAAAGTGATGGTATATTTTTTCTTTTATATGTAATATATTTGTTGCTATTGTGAGCTTGCAATATATATATGTAATATAAATCTTTTTTACAGATATATAATTCAACTTAAATGTTATTATTGCAGATATGAAGTGTGTTGATGCTCTCTTGAAGGCCACATGTGCTGTTATGAAGATGATGTGTCGTTGCCATTGTCATCCACTTTATGAACTTCTTATCAATTTTTAGTGACAACTATGTATTGTTAATGCTTTGTTCCAAACATTTTATGTACAACTTAAACTTGTTTAATTTGTTGGTTGAATATTTAAGGACTTGTAAATGTTATACACTCTATTTCAATTATACTTTCAATTGAGTTTGTTTTTATTTTAATGTTGTGTCGGACTATATAGGTATCAGGATAATAAAATTGAAGCAGGTTATTGCAAAAAACTTGTAAATAGGTTATTGCAAAAATTTTTTACAAATTTTGACTCTCATGTAGTATTGTAAAATGTGACTAGAGATTATTTATTTTTAATGTTGAGTTGGACTATACAGGTATAATCATAATAAAATTGAAGCAGGTTATTGTAAAGAACTTGTAAATAGGTTATTGCAAATTTTTTTACAAATGTTGACTCTCATGTAGTATAGTAAAATGTGACTAGAGATTATTTATTTTTAATATTGAGTTGGACTATACATGTATAATGATAATAAAATTGAAGTAGGTTATTACAAATAACTTGTAAATAGGTTATTACAAAAATTAATATATATATAATTTGGTGAGGGTTTACATTTTTTTACAAAAGAGAAGGCAAGAATCTGTATTTTGGAGTTAAATTCCCACCAATGCAGACTTATAAGAGTCGAAAATTATTATCAGAGCTGTGTAGTATTTTTTTTTTCTTCTTTCGCTAATGTGAAAAATGAGCAAAATAAATGAAACACAAATCTATGGACAATCATCACCAAAGGAACAAACTATACTAGGAAATTTCAAATAACTTAAAGTGTAATTTCAGATCAAGATAACATGCTATGTGTGTGTGTGTGTGTGTGTGTGTGTTTGTGTGTTCAAATTTTAATATATTTATTAAAAATATATAGACTATTTATATAGAAATAAATTTATAAATAAATTTAAAATTTATAAAAATAAATTAAAAACAATAATAACCAAATATGTTTTTTGTTTCTATTTTATTTTGTTTACAACAGTTGGAGCTACCAAACATGTTTTGTTTTTAAAATTTTTGAAACGCATGACTTACCAAACATGTTTTGCATGTTTTTGTTTCCGACATTTCTACAGTAAAAGATCATTCCCAAACGTGCTTCCGATTTTTGCCAAAACACTCTAATAGTAAAAACGCTATTTCTGTTTTAGCCAAAAACAAAACGCCTAAAGTAAACAGCATGCCAAACGGGCCCTTAAGTAACAAATTCGAGTTTCTTAATGTTTTAAGTTATGTTTCAAAGTTTTTCTTTCAAAAAAAGAAGTCAATGTCAAATCAAAATATAGTATTGGATTTGGGGAATAAATTTTCGTTCTTGGACAATTTTTTAATTTTTTTTATGTTCTTTTAATGATTTTAGAAAATTTTAAATTTGACCTAGAGTATGACAAATCAAAACTATAGTAAAGAAGAAGTTTACAAGCGAAAAGATAGTAAAAGTCAGAAGAATTGACAATAATAAGGAAGGTTAGTTATATTAGAAATGGGATGTAAGTTTAATTAATTTTAATTCTTTAAGTATTTATTTCCAGTAGCTCCAATGGAATGGGTCTATGTGTAAATAGGTACTACTATAAGAATATACTCATTCCCACGACAAATAGAACCAATTTTTTTATACCTTATTCGGAGACTTAACAACTTCATTCAACGTGTTTTCTAACCTTTGGATAATATTTTTTCTTCAATACATGCAATATGCTTCTCCTTGTGGATTTTGTTCCAACTTCTTACTTTTAACTTCTTCTTAGAGGTTTTACTTTGTGCATAACAATGGAAAACATTTGTTCTTTTCGATAATTCAAGCCAACCTATCTTGCAATTCGTCCCACCAATTCACCCAAAGAAGAAAAACAAAAAATAAGTTCCAAATTCTCATACACCATATTACCATTTTTCTCTATAAAAGCTTGTTTCGATACACATTTGAAAATCAAATTTAATTCAGCAGGATTGGTAATACATTCACTACGTGCTTCTCTTCCTGGTTTACTCAACATTTCCTTTCATCTTATGGCCTGTACTGCAATAACAGTCCTCTCTCTGCCCCACATGCGAAGGAATTTCACCGGACAGTTATTGAATGTAGCATTTGTCAACACGACATACTACTTCTCTGAAGGACTACTGCGTATGCCCACTAGTCGCCATGCCATTCTCGGCTTCATTGTTCCGATTACCATCAACTTTCTCGAATTGATGTACCAAGGAAAGGGAAAAACTCCATTCGAAACGCACCCAAAAACCATGCAGGTCAGCATTGTTAGTTTGCTCATGTATTGCTTGGCGTACGATGCTAAGCTGAGATGTTCTTCAACTCAGCCAACTCATGCCCTTGTTCTTTGTCGTGGTATGGTGGTGTTTGGTTCGCTGGCAGTGGTGTCTCTGGCATCAGTCCTTTTTGCGGACTCCATTAGGCCGGTTCTATACTTGCTTTACATCTTGTTTTCAGCAAGCGAATTGCTCAACCGACAACTTCAAATGCTGTGGAATTGGCTCCACCAGAGAATTCACCAAGTGTTGCATGCTTCTGAGAGGCATACTTCAGATATACTCCCCGTATGACACAAGGAAATTAAGCAACACTTGACCTGTGTTCAAGGTTGGGGTTCAAATAACACTACCCAAAAAAAAAAAATTACACACACACACAGTATACTGTGTTCCTCAGAGTTCAGTTAGCTTGGTTAATACATACTGATACTCAGAGATTTAGAATAATGAAGAAAAATAAGAAAAAACTAAGGAGGCCTTGACCATCAAATGTGGTCTCACCCAATATTGTACAGTGTCCTGTAAGTCCTCGTGTCAAAGAGTGCTTTGTGTGCGAACAGTGTGTGAAGCATCAGAAAGATTATTATTCATCTGCTCTTTCCTTTTTCTCCTATTCTTTGTCATGAAAATCTGAATTTTTTACATGCACCGAAGTATGGTAAGATGATATCCCAGCAACTGTTCTGAATTTGGGTCGGGGCAGGCCGGGTTCACTAGTGTTGCAAGTCTAAATGTTTTGTTTGGTTTCTGAGAAAGTAATCAATTGTTCCTAAATTGCCCATCTATTAAAAAAAAAAAAAAAAAAAAAAAAAAAATCGGGTCAATTGTGAGAAAAAATTCCAAATTAATAAAACATTATTGTCTAATTTTCTTTTATTGTATATAAAAAAATTCCAAATTAATAAAGCATCCTGGCTATTTCTCTTTTATTGTATATCATACATGGAAATCATAAATATACAACTCATTGAGAAAAAAATGTACCGCTGTGAAGATCCATATTTAAAGCGTGCAATTTCTTTATTAATTGGTTTCATCTAATAATCCATTAGGTTTTGATTTGAAGAATCAAATAGAAAATAGTTCCAGTAATGGGGTACGGTACACTATAATATACACACATGTTTAAAATATACATTCTTTTTTCTCTCTAATTTTATAAAAATCTTAGAGAGAGAAATTATAAATTTCTCTATTATGGACGCTTAATATAAAATTTCATCAACAACCATTATAAATGCAAAAAGAAAAAAAGAAAAAAAATTATATATTACCAATCAAATGAGTTTCTTGCTCATCAGTTGTATAGTTTGAGGAAAGTCATACGTAATTTCCAGGCTTTAAAATGCATGGAATAAAATATTCAGAAAAGTTCATATGGTTCAAGAATTTAGACTTAAACAGTGATTGGGGCTTCCTGTGATTGTTAAATTCTATCCGTTTGAGTTGCAGGACATACAAAATTTTGTTCTATCCGGTTGAGTTGCAGGACATACAATATATATATATATATATATATAAGACATATATATATATATATATATATATATATATATATATTATTTGAACCAAAATAATATATATAAAAATTAAACAGTATTAAATATTTCAGAATATTTTTCATATTCTGAAAGCATGTAGTCGAGTTTTCAAAATATTCATGGTATAATAATAGTAAATTTAGATGATAAAAAATATATATCAGATTACCTGTCTCTGTACTATAATATTTTTTTGGATTTTGTGAATTTTTGAAATATTGAAGACTCGTCGAAAGAGAAATGTTGAAGATTGAAAATGTGATGGAAATTAACATCGCATTTGTTTGTGGTAAAGTAAAAAATGTGAAAGAATATCTTGTATTTTTGGAAAAAGTTAGAAAGAATATAATATTTTGAAAAAGTGAACGAAAAATATCAAATTTTTTGAAAAGATTATATTCCTTTTATTTATTATATAATACCGTGAATGGTCCTTTGGTTATATATATATATATATATATATATATAGTATATATACGTGCAATGTCAATTTTTAATAGGGACAATTATACTTAATATAAAAATCTTTCCATATAAAATTATTTAAAAATTCAGTGGGGGCGCCACAGCACTACTGTAGATGTCACTTTAATAGTTTTAGTTTCTTGGGTGCATCGACACTATAAAAGCTTGTTTTAGAGATTTGCCTCACAGGCCGATTCAAGCCCGTGATGTTGACCTGTCCAACGTCTCTCTAAAAATAAAAAATACTGTAAAAAACTTGTTTTAATACAACATTGAAACTGGTAATACACTCACTTCTCTTCTCTTCTTAGTATGTATTCATTTCCTTCAATCTTCATGATTTTCTTGTCTTGTGATAAGTTTGCTAACTCAAGTTTTCTCGTCATATTTGTGCTCTAAATCTTATGGCCGATACTGCTGC